TACTACCTCTGTCACTAACACCTGAAGAAGGAGTAACACTCTGAAAGTTTGTGTTTTCAAATAAACCTGTTAGACTATAACCTGGTGTTGGGTGATTGCTGACCTTGTCCATCTTAGTCCAACACCAGCATCTCTACATCATGGCTTTCACACAATCATGTCCACACAATGATGTTAGAAGGAAGTGATTCAACCTTTGACCCTTGCCAGATTCACAAAGCGATGTTACCAGGGTTTCACATATCAGAGAAAGGTTGCACCACAAAAGCAGACCATTCGGTCCCTCCTGGGCAATCAACCCCACCTGAATGGGAGACCAGCGAAACCCTCAAGCATATTCACCATTCAATGAGGTCTTGTCCCAAATCAGATTTTACCCAACCAAGCTCTAGGGCACCAATATGAAAGGCACGACCCCACCCATTCAAAACATTTAGGTTTAAGGCCTCTGACGGTCTGTTGCTGCGGATAATAGTGATGCTGGCACCATGGTAACAGGGTGCCATGGGAACCCGCCAGCTGCGGTCAAAGGTCGTCAGCCTCATTTAAATCTCGGTGACGTCCCAATCTTCTGTCCGCAAAGATGGCTGCGGTCGGGCGGCTTCTTCTCGGGGTCGGCAGCTCCCTGCGGCTTGGAGTACCGCGGGGCCTTTTCAAGCCCCAAATTAAAGCAGGGGGTCAACTGAACACTTCTAGAAAGGTGGTGATGACTAAATCGGGCGCTATCTTACCCAAGCCCGTCAAGGTGAGCCCAACGTTCCGGCAGCTAAATTCTACCGGTAGTAGGGGAAGACGCGGATGTACGGGTTAGATTGACAGCCACCCAGGACCAATCAGGAAGCGCGTTGCCGTGATTGACATCTTTGCTGGCCACCAATACGCGGAAATCGCTGAAGATGTCGTCATTGGTACGTGCTGGTTGGTGCAATGTCGTTGATCGACAGTTCCGTCCACCAACAGACGCCTAGGGAGCTGGTAGATGGTTGGTTGAGTTTAGCCAATCAATCGAGTCCAGTAGGGAAATGTTAATGCTGCGGATGCTGGAAATCTGCACCAAAACAGAAAATGCTGGAAACAATCAGCAGGCCAGGCAGCATTTGTAAATTAACTTCTTTTTAAAGTAATAAAAGCCAGGCAGGGAATGAGGGAGAAAGCAAAGGATAAGGTTATGTCAGGTTATAAGCCGAAATGCGTTGAGAGAAGGGTTGTTGGTGCAGGCAGAAAGAGATGGTTGTTATCGATTCATAGATGTATGCACCACAGAAACAGGCCCTTCGGTCGAACTCGTCTATGCCGACCAGATATGTTAAATTAATCTAGTCCCATTTGCAAGCATTTGGTCCGTATCCCTCTAAGACCTTCCTATTCATGTACCCATCCAGATACCTTTTAAATGTTATAATTGTACCAGTCGCCACCACCTCCTGTGGCAGCTTGTTACATGCATGCATCACCTTCTGCATGAAAATATCTCCCCTTAGATTCCTTTTAAATCTTACCCCTCTCGCTTAAATCTGTGTCCTCTAGATTGGACTCACCTACCCTGGGAAAAATACTTGGCTGTTCACCCTATCCATGCCCCTCATTATTTTGTAAACCTCCACAAGGTCACCCCTCAGCCTCTGACATTCCAGGGAAAATAGCCCCAGAATAGTCAGCCTGTTCCTTTGCCTCAAGCCCTTCTACCCTGGCAATATCCTTGTAAATCTTTTCTGAACCCTTTCAAGCTTTCCAGTACAGCCACAACATGACATCTTAACTCCTATACTCAACACACTGACCAATAAAGGCAAGCGTACCAAACGCTGCCTTCACTACCCTGTCTACCAGTGACTCCGCTATGAAGGATTTATGAACCTGCATCTGTAGGTCTTTGTTTGGCAACATTCCCCAGGACCCTACCAATACGTGTACAATCCTGCCCTGATTTGCCTTACCAACGTGCAACACCACATTATCTAAATTAAACTCCATCTGCCATCCCTTGGCCCATCTGATCAAGGTCCCATTGTACTCTGAGGTAATTTTCTTCACTGTCCACTGCATCACTGATTTTGGTACCAATTATGGTAGAAGTGAATGATTGAGTCTGGAGGGTTTGTCATCGACAGCTGCTGTTGAGGAAGTTCTGTAATTATCGAACTCAATGTTGGATATTATCCTTCGTATTTTAAAAGTCTCAATTAGGTCGGTTCTATGCCTTTTGTTTTTGGAGGAAAGAGCTGGAAACGGCTTGCATAGGTACACCCTTTAGTTCTGGGGAGATTTAGAGCCCGGGCATAGTTTAAAATAAGAGGTCTACCATAACATGGTAAAGGGGAGGAATTTCTTTTACTCTTGCTCCCATTTATTACAATCTTATGATCGAGTCGTGCTACAGTGCTGGGACGTCATTTTAGCATTTATATAAACAGGCCAAAGCTATAGGAACTGGTTTTGCTGCTGACACAAAGGTAGGTTCTGTGCTCAAATATCTGGCAAATAGAATATTATGTGGGAAAATGTGAAGTGGCCTCTTTCATCAGGAAGATTAAAGAAACATGTTTGATAATTAGCAAGCGATTGCAGAGCTCTGAGGTACAGAAGGATCGGAGTGTCTTAGTACGCAAATTACAAAATACTACTATGGCAATGTGACAAGTAATTAGGAAAGCCAATAGAAAGTTATTGTTCATTGCAAAGGGAATTGAATACAAATGTAGGAGGATTATGCTTCAGTTATACAGTACAGAGTATTGTGTACTGTATTGGTCTCCTTACTTAAAGGATATAAAGGAGATAGAGTAGGATCTTGTGGCACAGTGGGAAAGTTCCCACCTCCTCAAGACATGTAAAACCTATCTGTAACAGGTTGATTTTTAAAGACATCTATAAATGCATTGGACTCAGTTCAGAAAAGTTAATAGTACCTGGAATGGAGGCTTGGTGTTGCTGTAGGGGTGGCGGGGAGAAAAGCCAGACTGCTGAGTGAGTGATTTGGGAAGAGGGGTTGGTGGTTAGTAATGTCATTGGATGAGTAATGTAGGGGGCCAGGCTAATGCTGGGGGACCTAGGTTCACATCCCACCACAGTAGCTGATTCAATTCAAATTCAATTAATAATACAAGCTAGAATCAGCCATGATGGCTACGTTAGCTATCATACATTGTTTTAAAAATGCAGCTTGCTCACTAATGTCCTTTTATGGAAGGAAATCTTCTGTTCTTTGCTGATCTGGCCTAAATGTGACTCAAGGCCCACAGTAATGTGATTGACTCTTAACTGTCCTGTGATTCAGGATAGGCAATAAATGCTTCATGATTATAGACTGAATATAATTTTGTTGTCTTTGTGAGTCTTGTGGCTTACTGAGGATTTACTTTGACGAGGGCAACAGGAGATTAAATTGATGCCGTGAATGAGGACGTATCTTGAAAAGCAAAAGTTATACTTAACAGTCCTTAACTTGTCGGTCTTTCCTTCTGTTAGAGCTCTCAGATCCAGTTAAACATTCTTGAAACATTCTTGACTGCATCTCAGTTCTTCTCTGAAGATGATTTTGTTGTGCTAAGCCCCATGCTGTAGTTTCTCTGTTTAACAAATCTACAGTTTTCACCTGATAGTAGGAACTGCAGATGCTGGAGAATCTGAGATAACAAGGTGTAGAGCTGGATGAACACAGCAGGCCGAGCAGGAAGGCTGACGTTTTGGGCCTAGACCCTTCTTCAGAAATCCCAGACTCCTCTGTTTGTGTTACAGGAGCTAGTGAGTTGTAGCTTTTTAGCCCTTTCTGACTATCAGCTATCTTGTGTTTGACCCGCTAGTTGGCTAAATCATGAGGTGTTATCGTAATTGGGGATTTGAGATGATAGGACCTTTGCCAGCTGCTGTGGAAGACAGCATTCATCCTAGTTATCATTCCTTCATGCTGACACAGGCAATGTGAAATTTTTATTATATTGAGTTACAGAAACTGCTTCTTTGTCTACATTATTAAAGCTACATAATCAAAGCGTGCATGATTTAATATGTGTAAAACGCTTATATTATAAATAAGGGTTTAGTATGAAAAGTGATCAATTTATTTTAATATAATAACATTAAAGCAAATTGTTTTAGTGGATGAATTAATATCAGATTAATGTGAGAACATAGGAGTAGATCATTCCGCTCTTTGAGCCTGCTTCACCAGTCATCATGGTCATGGGTGATCCCAATTTCTTGTTTGCCCCCGACCCCTGTCATCCTTGATATGGATAGGGTGAATAGCCAAAGTCTTTTACCCAAGGTAGAGGAGTCCAAGTCGAGAGGGCATAGGTTTTAAGGTGAGAGGGGAAAGCTTTAAAACGGACCTAAGGCGCAACTTTTTCACGCAGAGGGTGGGTGTGTGTATGGAATGAGCTGCCAGAGGAAGTGGTGGAGGCTGGTACAATTACAACATTTAAAAGGTGTCTGGATGGGTAAATGAATAGGAAGAGTTTAGAGGGTTATGGGCCATTATGGGTGGAGCTCAGGAATAGGAAAGGTGAAATCACAATGTTGGGAGTTTTCTATAGACCTCCCAACAACCCACATGAGATAGGAGCAGATATGTAGTCAGATACTAGAAAGGTTTGAAAAAGCAAGCAAGTAAGTTTTGGTGGGAGACTTCAACTTTCCTCTTATTGACTGGGACTCCTTTTAGAGCCAGGGGCTCGGATGGAGAGCAATTTGTTAGATGTATTCAGGAGTGCTTTTTGAGACAGTATGTTGACAATCCAACCAGAGAGGCGGTCAAACTAGACTTGGTATTAGGGAATAAACCAGGACAGGTGATCAATGTTTCAGTAGGAGAGCATTTTGGGCTTAGTGACCATAACTCCATATGATTTTGAGTAATCATGGACAAGGACAAGAGTGGATCTTGGATGAGGGTGTTTAATTGGGTAAGGGCCAATTACATCCACATTAGACAAGAACTGGGGAATGTGGATTGGGAGCAGTTATTTGATGGCAAATCTACGTCTGGCATCTGGCTTTTAAGGACCACTTGATTAAAGTGCAGGACGTGCATGTCCCTGCAAAACTGAATGGCAAGATCCAGGAACCATAGAAGACAAGGGAAATTGTAAACTTAGTCAAAAGGAAAAAAGAAGCATATGATAGGTCTAGGCAGCTATGAACTGACGAAGCCATTGAGGAGTGTAGAGCAATTAGGAAGGAAGTTAAACGCAAAATTAGGAAGGCTAAAAGGGGCCATGAATGGGTATCCTAAATTGCATTAAGGTAGACAAGTCTCCAGAGCCAGATGGCAACTGTACCAGGTTTCTGAGAGAGGTAAGGGAAGAAATAGCTGGGGCATTAGCAGATATCTTCACACCGTCTTTAACCACTGGCGAGATTCCAGAGGACTGGATATTAGCCAATGTTGTTCCTTTTGTTTAAGAAAGGAAGGAGGAATAATCCAGGAAATTATTGGCTGGTGAGTCTGACATCTGTGGTGGGGAAGCTCTTGGAGAAGATATTGTGGGACAGGATATATGCACATTTGGAGGAAAATGGACTAGTTAGCAACAGGCAGCATGGTTTTGTGCGGGGAAGGTCATGTTTCACCAACCTTATCAAATTTTTTGAAGAGGTGACAAAGATAATTGATGAAGGTAGGGCTGTGGATGTAGTTTATGTGGACTTTAGTAAGGCAGTTGATAAAGTCCCACATAGCAGATTGGTACAAAAGCCAAAATCACATGGAATTTGGGGTGGGCTGGCTAGATGGATACAAAACTG